GGTGTGGGTGTGTGTGTGGGTCCCAGACCAACACCCACACCCTCAGTCACCCACCCCCCTCGCTCCTAGCCTCACGTTTCAGTTTGAAATAATGTATTATTTTTATTTGATAAATTCAGACTGAAATTAAATAGCCCATTGTATGTCGAATTAGTAGGCGAATAAGCTCCTAAACTAAGCAAAAACAGTTTTTTTTAAATTTATTTTATGATATTACTAGATTCATTACAAATATTAAATATAATTGTTTATTAAAATAATGTGAATTTAGAACCAACATCTTCAAATATGAAGAAAAAAAAACAATTTCATCAAGAAGTATGAAAGATTCTAAACGACAAAAATCTGCAGCTGATACAATGAAAATACAATACAACGATAAAAAGCAATAAAAACAAATACATAACATATATAAAAACTTATTATTCTAAATCATTACACAATTTTTATCAACAATACAACATCAATTTTTTTTGTTATGTTCGTTAAAAAGATATGTTCAGTTCAAATTCATAATAAATAAAAGACCTATTATTTATTACTATCATGATATATTAATTTTCTTTTATATGCAGCACCATTTTGCATAAAAATAGTAAATCACTATTGCAGCTATATTACAAATTATAATTATGTCTATTGAATAGAAATCGAATTATACTTTTCTTATGATCTTATCGATTCTTCTAGATTTTATTTAACTAAAACAAATAATATTTAATTATTTCAAAAACAAATAATGACGAATGCTACAAGTTTCTTGCATTGAAACAAACGTTTTTGTGACTAATTCTAAATGAAAATAATAGAAAACTTACTTTGCGATTTTGGCAAATTTTATTAATGCTCATTTCGATCTATCGTATTCTCCATATACACTTCGAAAAAATGTCCGATTATCATAGATAGCAATCGAATTTTCAAAGAACAAAATAAAAATTATAATCATTCGAAATCTTCTAAATATGCATGATAACTTGATTTTTGATCAAGCATTATGTTCAAAAATCAATTATAATTCTAATTAAATTCGTCTATTTGCGATTTCATGTGATTTTAATAAAAAATACTCGAATTTAAAGGAGAATTTAATTGATTTTTTGAGGATTCCTTTTTTTAATAAACAATCAAACTATCATTGATGTAGAAGATTTCAATGAAATATAATTTTGCTTTTCCTGGAAAATTTGACAGTAATCTATCCTAATAACATCCCTTTTTATTCTGTAATTTACTAATAAATCAAAGTGCGTCTAGTATGATAATTGATGTTATACAGCTGAAAAGACTATAGCATTCGTTCTCGAATATTCACTGATGAAATGTCGAAAACTAATATTCAACAAATAAAAACAATTCGTCTGCAACAATATGTGCATCATTATTACAAATACTATTAAATTTATAATACAGAACACTTTTGAATACTGAATATAGTTATGGCTCGTTTAAAGATATACAATTAATCATAATTAAGTTTGCTACACCACTGTTACTGATGGAAAAAATTAAACAAATATTACGATAAAACCATAACAAAGCCAGAAAAATTTCTTTTACAACAGAGCAATTGAAGAATCACAGCTACACACAAAAATGAATGTCTGATATATTCTTATGAAGAAGCATAAAATAATATAAGTCAAACTATCTTTACCGATCAACCTAGATAAACACTTACGCCTTAAACACGGTCAATTTCAATCTGTTACATGATGTTGAATATGAATATCTATCAAACCAATATTACAACCATTCGTCAAATATATCATACACCATGTCGTTTTCACAACTAATATGTTTCCTATATGAAGTGTTCAACAATCCGTATTAAATCAAACCAATCACAAACTATTTTAGAGAGATATAATATCAGCGCATCATACAAAAAAATTAATTATAGACAGAAAAATTTCATTGTACTCTATCCACACTAAACCATTAAAAAAATTAAATAATATCTTTTCTTCTGTGACATTGCTCTTGGCCACAAAAAAAAACAGATCACAATTAACAAACGATGTTTCAGAATTATTTCTACGTACTTGATCTATGTCGTCATGTCCCGAGCTATTCAAAAATTTGGTATTATAATAAAATAACGAGTAAGCAATTGTGAAATTCGTTTGAAACAATCCCTCTCTGTCCCAACGTCCCGATTGTTTGAAAAAAATTGATACTATAATAAAATAACCACTCAGCAATTCTACCATTCGCTTCAAACAATCGCTCTCTGTCCCAACGTCCCGAGTGTTTGAGAAAAAAAATTTAATAATAATGTAATGACTCAGCAATTCTAAAATTCGTTTCAATCAATCGCTCTCTGTCCCAACGTCCCGAATGTTTCAAAAAATCGATATTACAATAAAATAATGACTCAACAATTCTCAGATTCGTTTCAAACAATCGCTGTGTCACAACGTCCCGAGTATCTCAAAAAAAAAATATTATAATAATGCAATGACTCAGCACTTGTGAAATTCAATTCAAACAGCGCTCTCTGTCCCGACGTCCCGAGTATCTCAAAAAAAATATTATAATAATGCAATGACTCAGCAATTGTGAAATTCGCTTCAAACAATCGCTCTCTGTCCCGACGTCCCCCCGAGTGTTTCAAATAAAAAAAATGATAATAATATAATTACTCAACAATGCTAACATTCGTTTAAAACAATCGCTCTGTGTCCCAACATCCCAACTATTTCAAAAAATTGATTTTATAATAATATAATGACTCTGCAATTTTTAAATTCGTTTTAACGAATTGTAGTATGTCCCGCCGTCCGTAGAATTTTTCAAACATTTACATTCTACGATTCAGCGATATCTATTTATTATTGTAAATTGTGGGGTGAAAAAAATTTAGAACTAAATAAAGCTGCGTGGGAACTATTGACTAATATTTGTCATCGACCGTATTCCATACTGATATGTTTTTTATTTAAAAGAAAAACAATAATGAGAACTGACATAAAAGGAAAACAAAATGTTATCTAGTTTTGTATGCACATCAATAAACAAACAAAAACAAAAATGCAATTCCAATCTCAACTGCAACAGGTATAAAAGCATTAAATACCCACACCCACACCCGCCCTGATGAGTGTTTCAATATTTTAATAAATAATACGAAATATGTCGGTGAAATTAAAACTACATTTCTTATCAATTGTTTTAATCAAGGCACATTCATTTTTTTATTATACAATTTTAATTTAATTTTCGACTACGTCGATTGCTGAAAAGCAAAAGTTTAGAACAGCACATTGAACTGGTCTTTTCTTTAAGAGATAGGTCGATTTGTTTTCAATAGACTTAATGAACTGGTAGAAAGAGTCAACTCTTTCTATACAAATCTCGAGATAGCTCGATCGGCCACCAAAAGATTATAACAAATTTCAATGTCTCGGCTTGATTCAAACCAGTCTTCGTTCTCTAATCAATTGTACCTTCGATCATTATCTCTTTCTCATTGTCGTTCGATACTACGGTTATGAACATGAAGAAATGTAATATCAACATAAAAAACAGATCAATAGTAAACCTAATACTACACACCAAAGTAAAGTTACTAAAATGCTTCAGAAAGTGTAAACTAATTCAACTTTATGCCATTTTTTGCATTCATTGGGGTGTTTACAAACAAATTATAGATGCGTCTAAATCAATTTCAATACGTGCACACGTTACCTATACAAGTGTGCTTACGTATAGAAAAAGAAAAAAACGAATACCTTATGACAGTAAGTAAATTGTAAGCAATGGCCTTCTCTTTTTTCCTTGGCTCTTATTTGTGTGTATTCATTTTGTTCGATATCTTCGTTGATGATAAACACACATACACCATTGCCTTTTTCCTATTCATTACAAATATTAGTCATTTTGTTTAAAATAATTTCATGAATCAAGAGAGACGTTATATTTTTTTTGTCACAGCTCTTACTAATATAAGATTCGACCATGATGAAAACAAAAATTAATAGCAACAAGCAACAAGCAACATTATACGAATATTTTTCTTTGAAGGTGAGTGAATCAAAAAACGAGTATGATGAATGTGTAGCGTTTTCTAATGAGGCTTACCAAGGGCAAAAAAGTAGCACTTTTTTTTCAACGAATGATACATGATCTGATAGAGCGCGCGATGCTGATTTCGAATATTATATGCATTTCAGTTGAGAATGGAGTTTTGATGGTCAAAATTTCCAAATACGAGTGCATTTTTGAACGTTTTGCTGCTGATGTTGAAAAATTTGGTTTTCTCAAGACTAAAGAAGAGTACAAAGAAAAAGATACTCAGATTTTTTTCTTATCGATTCGTGATTCGAATGATGTGTAAATGAGAATTCTATCTGTTGAGACAAAATAGGGGAGATAGGTTTGCGAGATTTGATGGTCGCTGTGTGCCTACTGACCGAACTGTCATCAAATTAAATCAAATATACTTAGTTATACTAAAAAGTTGATACTAAATCCAAATAAATTGCTTTGAAAAAAACCACAGTGTTGAAACAGGTAAAATCTTGAATTTTTGCATAAATAATAAACTTTTCAATTTTGTTGTGTCAACTAGTATTTTAAAGATTTTTCACCCAAAACTTGTTTCAAGAAAATTAAAAACTTTTGACATAGGTGCTGTCCTCACGACAAAAACTATATTTGAAGTGAGGAAACGAAACAAAAGAAATTCAAACATCATACTCAATTCCGATGAAAGAAAATATTTTCCCTATGTTGCTTCAAAATTTCAACTTGTAGATATTGTTTTCTGTGCTGAAATTCACTTTCTGTCAGTTAGTTAAGAATTTGAAAAGACTCTCTGTCTTAAGATATTTTTGATCGTAGAAGATGAATAGATTTTAAAAAAATAGTCTTTTCATGTTTAGTGTGTAATTTGTAGCACTTCTCGTTTTAAATGGCTGCTACAAATTGTGATAGTGATAGTGACATTCCATTTGAATTTAAAACTTATGAAGAATTCAAAAGTGAACGGCTCAAATTGAACCATGAAAATACACTTAAATTGTGGTATTCTCTGCCATCAGGATTGCCAACTGTTAGTAATTCATTTGTCAAACGCTACACACTACACCAGCAACAGACTCGCGTACGAAATATAAAATCTTTTATCTCCTATTCTAACAAGTTCAGACGAACGTTTCTCAAAAAGAAGGTTCATGCGAAAGGTATGCAAACGACAGATAAAGATTAGGAAACTACATGAAATGTGCAGGACATCGTTATATTTAAAAAGGTAATGATTTGTTCGTTGTATGTGTGACATTAATTTTAGGGTTTCGTCTATGGAATGATATGTTCAATGTACCTCCGTTAAACAATGCTGTTCTCTATGGAATTTATCAATCGCTCGGTCGTATTACTAATGAGTTTCTTGCAAAGGGAAAACGATACGATCCAAAAATAGATGATGATCAACTCTTTAAAGCAGGTCGTACCGTTTGGTTTATAATTGCTTTTCAAACACAAATGAATCTATCATTGACTCTTACGGATTCGATATTTGGTTACAATATGCTCTATCCATATACAGATGATTTGGTTGATTGTAATGATGTATCTCGAGAAGCTAAAAAAGATTTTGCTCGAATATTTCATGAACGATTACTTATCGGTGAATCAAATTATAATCCAAAATCGCATTTCAATGGACAACAATCGAATGTAGACGAATTAAAATTGCCACCATCATTACAATCTTATGCTGATCGTGTTGGAAAAATATTTGATATGGTCAAATTCATTGAAAATGATTGGACACGTAATGAACATCAAGGTGTCTATATGGGTTTGGCTACTATTCATGAATCTCAGATGAAATCAACAATGCAGCATGCTCAGCCCGATAATGGATACGTACCGACAATGGCACAAATTGAACAAATTAGCGCAGAAAAAGGTGGTGCATCATTGATTGCTGCTGTGTTTCTTATCGAAGGACGATTAACACGAGCAAAAATGGCCTATTTAGAATATTTGGGCTTTGGTCTACAGTTACTCGATGATCTTCAGGTAGATTATATAGATTATCAGATAATTCTCTCTTATTCTTGTACATGTTTGAGCTTAAAGTTTCAGTCTAAATTTTCAGAGTCGGAATTAGAGAAGTTACTTTTATTTTCTCTGATCTACTTTATGTCAAAAAAAAGATTGGCACTCCTAACTTAAACAGAAGTTTTTAAAAGCTGTGAAATGACTGATTTCGGCAGACTGATCGCAATCTTTTTCTATCGTATCTTATAGATGAATTTGTTATTTATATAGGATGTGGAAGAAGACATGAAGAATAATCATCGAACTATTTTCACTCAATCATTGGCTGATGGTCAAACATTGGACGCACCTACGGCTCGTCTAATTCAATATTGTTATTATGCACCGGCCTTTGAAGAGTTTTCTGATGATCATCGTACAGTGACAGATGTACGAAGTGGTGAAACATTGGCTCATTATGTTCGCACTTCGATGATGATGTTTTCGATGCTGCTCATTTTGGAAGCTGTTTCTCGACTACCACAATACTATTCCGAAGAATTCTATCGCGAAATATCAACATTCAGTCCACTGCCATTTGACGATCTTAAGGGGGCTCGTGTTGAAAAGACATTTTGGACCGCTGTACGAAATCAGTTGTTCTAAATTCTTGTATTCTAAACCTATTTTTATTAATTCTACTGCTACTAATCTAGAACTCAAAATATGATTCGAATCTAATAAAGTTTAAAAATGGAAAAGTACTGATGTTAGTCATAGTTAATTGAAATATTCATGCTAGCAAAAATAATCAGTAGTCGTTTTATCTTGAAACATTAGTTATTATGTGAAATTGATACTGGCCAAATGATATTTGTTTCATTTTATAAGTTGACAATTAAAAATGTTTTTGAAAAAATGTCTCATCTAATGTAATTGCACAGAAATCGTTTATTTGAGCAACTTCTCAAGTTTTATGTCATATTTTGGCTTATTTATTTAAACTGATATGATCTTCAAAAAAAATGGATAGTTTACTTATTTCGAATTAGGTTTTTTTGTTCGAGTTTCTGAAAGTTCTATTTGTTTTCTAAAATTTTGCATTCATGGTATTAATATGATAAAGCTAATGAATTTGTAGAAGGGTTCTGCTTAGTATTATATATTATTGTGATTGTCGAATTCTCTTGTTTATTAATGTGAATATTTTCGTTAAAAGATTTAACGCTGTATGAATGCGTTAAAAGGTGCGCTTTTTGCAACTTTATTTCCGTTCAAGTTATTTAACGTGTTTGATTTTTGAATTGAGAATATCACTAGAGTGAACAACAATAATCTATAAACCCGACCTACTTAAACGATATTTTTGGTGCGTTCTTAGGAATTTCACTTGTTTTCCCACCATATAAAAATGAATTCTATGTTATTTTTGGTCTACAGTTTGGGATAATAAACTAAATATTGTTTCATAAAGTTCGAGATCATCTTAAATTTCTTTTTTGTACTTTTCTAAGACATAAAATTGGACAGATATAGAAGACATATATTTATAAATATCATCTAGACTACGATTCAAAATTTATTATACCGTATTGACATCAGTATTAAGTGCATTATTAGAAAACATGTTAAAATATCTTCATCAAGTGTATTGTCCAATCTTTTTCATTTGATTACGAGCGGGGAAAATACTAATAACTACGAGTCATTTTTGTCATTCTCTTATTTTGAAATATAGCGCGTTCCGTAAGTCCTTAGCGAAAGAAAAATTTGAATATTTTTACTAGACTTCAATGAAATGAGCTGATTTTTTCTCAAACTAGAAGACAGTTTCTAGTTTTTATTCACGAATGAATAGTATATTGGAAATATGATTTATGCTCAGTAAAAAAATGAAGCGGTCAGTACATGAAATAATTATAAAATCAATAAATTTATTGATTGATCAAGAAATTATTGAAATGGTCAGTTATTAATTGATTATGTTTGAAAATATATTCAAAAATCAGTAAGTACAGTTTATTAGCAGTCGATTATATTAAAGGATCAGTATAAAAGTTCAAATGAAAAAAAAAATATTTTGAATTTATCTTCAATAGTGTTCAAATTGATATGGAAAAAATCAATAAACTTTTATTAAAACCAACATCATTAATATCAGATACCGCAGATTCAATCAAAAACGGTTTTAAAAATGTATTTAATAATTCATATAATCAAATAATGTGCTGGGCGCATATGAAAAGGAAAGTTGAACATCGTTTATGTCAAGTAAATGATAAACATATTAGAAAAGAATTAATGGATGATATTGAACTGTTTCAGTTATGCAATTCTACAGCTGCATTTGAATTAGCATCAACATTATTCATGACCAAATGGAATATGAAGCAAAAAAATCAAACAATATTAGATTTTTTGAATTATTTTGATTCTGAATGACATAAGTCAAACAATGGTTGGTACCAAGGTTTACAATTATACGCACCAAGTACAAATAATGCTTTAGAGGCGACAAATAAAACATTCAAAGCTGACGGAATATCCCGAGAACGTCATGTTTTGTCAAGATTTTTAACCATTTCTTCAAGTATTATGAATAATTGGTCAATCGAACGGGATCCACCATTAGCTGATGCAAGAATATTTGCTACAGAACCAACAATATCTTTAGAATTATGGACTTCATCATATCAATGGACTAAATCAACAAAAGATATCATTTGTATTCCAAATGATTCTTCGAAAAAATATTATATATCAGCTCGTGACTTAAAATGAACTACACAAGCTGACTTAATTAAATATAATAAGAAATGAACAACTTTTGATCAATTCAAAAAATCATTTGATATTTGTGTATAAAAAAGCAAAATGATTTACACTGGAAATCATCGAAATGCAACTGCCCAGCTTTTTTAAAGCATTATATATGCAAAGACAGTGCCAATCGGCGAGAAAAGAAAAAGACGTTGACCAGCAAAGGCTAAAAATGCTTTACTAATACAATGGTTGAATTTTTACTTTTCTTCAGTTATTCTTTAAACTCCTACCTATTTATTCTGTTCTTTCTTGATTTATTTAAATTTATTTTCTACCGAGAATGGTTATTTTTCTACTGATAAATTGTGTATTTTTTGCTGATCAAAGTTGCATTTTTTACTGATACTTATATTTAACAAACTGATCATTTCAGAATTAATTACTGACATTTTTTAGTACTGATTATTTACACATTTTTGTGTACTCAAAAAGTGAGGGCACTATAGAATCGGTCAGTGTGTCCGGATGTCCTTCCGGCCGTTTACACGATAACTTTCGAAAGGAGAGTCCAATCACGATGAAATCTTCTTCACAATTGCGTCTCATCAATGTCTCGGTCGAGTTCGAAGATGAGAATGATTCGTAGAGCCATTGCTGAGTTATCGGAAAAAGAATCATTATTCCCTATGCTTTTCTATGCGAACATTGACCTATCCCAGTTTTCGTAAAAAACTTTTCCTTTCATAATCAAACAAAACCGCAACTATTATATACCATTCGATAGAGAATTTCACGAGCTACAAAATGGTGTATAAAACATTAAGAAACAAGAAGGCTAAGTCACCTATTGCAAAGATACTTAAATGGAAATTCATTCTGTTTTTGTCCACGCTACGATTGATCGAAAAGCAAAGCTCCATCTTCCGGTCACAGAGATGATAGTTCGAGATTTTCTAGGGCGGAGAACTCAAATCTGAGCTCCATTTGCCTCGAAATCCTATTGGTTGAACAGTAACCGATACAGATCAAGTTTTAATAGAAGGGGCTCGCTAGGATAATGTTGATGCCTACATGTGTTAGGATGACTCATCTGTCCAGATCACTTTTTGAAGTACACATAACACTCGGATTTAAATCCGATGCTTCCACATTTATTACTGACAGTTTCAGCTGTCTAAATGACCTCTTAAATGGTAGACATTTTTCTACCAAAATGATCAACACGGAAAGCTCTGTAAAATAGACTAGAATCAAATTTTTTTCAAGAATCTTGTATCTTCTGTGGCTGAATGTCCATGTAACTACCCGTTGAAATAGTTAAATATTTAGCTATAAATAATGAAATGTTAGCATGAATAATTATTTGAAATATGAACAATGTGACCTAAAAATTAAAGCAAGATATGCTGACAAATTTCTCATACTCTGTAACGCTCTGAATAGTTTTTAAACATTTGATTTTCGAACTCAGCAGAGACTGTCATATAAGTGGAGAGGTTTCTTCATTATGTTTCACATTGTAACCCCGTGGGGATTTTGCAAAAATTAAAAAACAAGCGTCACATTAACACAAAATGTTATGATATTTTTCGTTCTTTGTTCCTACCATCGAGAAAAACGAAAACTAGGTTGGTAACTTTAAATGTCACCCAAGATTATCGATAGACGTTTGTCATCCCCAAAAGAAAATATCATAATATCAAGTATCATTTGATTGTTTTTATCAATAGGAATGGTATCGGGAGCTTTAACTGCTGTCGATTATGTTTTGTTGGTGCTACTGTTGCTTTCATCGGCTTCTATTGGTGTCCTCTTTGGCTTTTTTAAATTAAAGAAAAACTCGGCCTATGAATTCCTTTTAGGTGAGTCATAGAGATAAATTTATCTTTTCAGTGTTCTGATTTTGTTTTGATATTTCCAAGCTGGTGGTAGTATGGGTGTGTTTCCTACCGCCATGAGCATCATGGTTTCATTTATTTCCGCTATTACAGTTCTGGGTACACCCAGCGAAGTATACATGTCTGGAACTATGTATTGTTATGCAGGTGAGAGAGAAAGTAAATTTTGAGATAATGTTTTGAGATCAAGATATTTTTCATTTGTAGCCATCTCCTGGGCAATTGCATCAATTGTTGCAGCCTTTGTGTTTATGCCTAAGTTTCGTGAGATGAATTTTACAAGTGCATATCAAGTATGATATATTTGGAAAACTAGAATTTGCTAAAAATCATCAAACATTTATTAGTATTTCGAGAAACGTTTCGATCGATCGGTGCGTATGGCTGCCTCCTTCACATTTTCTATATACATGGTAGTGTGAAATTCATTCAACTGCTTATATATGTTTCGATCATAACTTTTCTAGATCATTTATATGGCTATTGTGCTGTATGCTCCTGCATTGGCACTAAGTCAAAGTATAGTAGTAAATAGATACATTGTCTTTTTTCCATTCAACTGTAATTGTAGCTACGGGATTGAACATTTGGCTATCTGTCCTTTCAATTGGTATCATTTGTACATTTTACTCTTCTGTGGTAGGACATGCTTAGTGTTGTGCCCAGTACTCTAAAAAGAAAAGAGTACCATGAGGAACCATTTTTGCAACAAAATTGGAATCTTTTCTAAGGTTTCATAAAAACCCAAGACATGTGCAAAATAATCATCAAAGTTTTAAGCATCATTTTTTAAGATTTCGAAGGCTTTATACAAAATATTAAAAAGGTTTCGATTTCTTTTCGAAATTCGAAACCTTTTTACGCTCTTTATCATGTATGAAACTCTTTTTAACTGTCGTAGCACCTACGAAACTACTTTTGGTACCGTATAGTACCTCATTTTTTTCCGTGTAGTAGAGTTGATAAGAGTCATTATATGTAGGGTGGAATGAAAGCTGTTATTTGGACCGACGTTTTGCAAGCAACAATCATATTAGTTGGTATTTTGGCAGTCATCATTCAAGGTTCGTTCACTTTTTTCATACATATATGCAGTTTTGAACGGCTGAACAATTTGATGCTTTTCAAGTGCAATCTTTAACCTATTGCTGGATGTCTGAAGTCTGAATAATACAGTATAATACAGAAGTAGGCGTATCTGGTGCTTATAAACTGAAGGCCTACTATTTAGAAAAAGTTAATCGTACACACGTCTGAACAGAGATCGCGTGTCTCCATCGGATACTAAGATACTTTTACACCAGCCCGTTCGGCAAATGCCAAAGACTATTGTCTGTCCAAAATAATAATAGTCCTGAGTATTTTTTGGAAAACTTGAGAACAGAAGCAGCTAGGGATCTGTGGTTTTCATCATTCAAGAGAGAAGATCCAGAAACATTGAACCGTTTTGAAAAACAACTGGACAGCGGCTGATCAATAAGGTGAATTTGTGGTGAAAATTTTTCGAAACGATATTCTCAACCTATTTTCCTTTTGATTCAGAATTTTAATACGACTGTTCAATAGAAAAAAGCTCTTCTCTTTCAATCTATAGAAGATCCATATTCATAGTTAGTTCTCTTGAGTCGATTGATGATATTTGGTGTTAGGTTTTGAAATCGTCTGACACTATTATTTCAGTATTTTCGAATTTCACTATCAACTTCTAGGCAACGGAGGAATCGACATTTCCAAAATATTGGCATAACAGTGTAAGATAATTTCAAACCTTTAAAACAGATATCATCACTCGACTCAAGATGATAAATTACCCCTGTGTAGCTCCCTTTTCCGGCGATAACAAATCATTTAGCTGAAATTTGGAGTCTCGAGAAAAATCTTATAACACACAGATGGGACTAACTAGGAATATAGGCTTTGTGCAGATCGAAAAAGAAGAGCTTTTTCTATTGAACAGTCGTATTAAAATTCTAAATGAAAAGGAAAATAGGTTGAGAATATCGTTTTGAAAAATTTTCACCACAAATTCACCTTATTGGTCAGCCGCTGACCAGTTGTTTTTCAGAACGATTCAATGTTCCTGGACCTTCTCTCCTGAATGATGAAAACCACAGATCCCTAGCTGCTTCCGTTCTCAAGTTATTCGAAAAATATCCACGGCTATTATTATTTTGGATAGACAATAGTTATAGTGTAATTTCTCAGGATGTCATACATAAGCAATAGTACACGCGTGCATTCGACTAAATCAAGCGACAAAGTCGTTCTGAAAAATAGAGATTTTTGCGGTTGGTTATGGCTTGTATCAATGTTTTCTTCAATGAGCTATGACTTTCTATGCAAATTCGTAATATTCAAATTGTCACTTGCTTTTGTAATTTGTCATTATAGTGAGGAAACCATAATGTATCACTACTGATAAATTTGAAAATAAAATAGAATTGGTCTCTTTAAAATGTTTTTCATAAGTGCTGACAAAATTGAATAGAAACTATGTGCAATTATAGTGGAAGAAGCACTCGTCAAACATACAACTTTGTGAAATTCTATATGGACAAGAATTATTAGAAAAAGAGCTGACAAAGTGCTTTTAAAGTGTCTTCAGGTTAGTTGTTCTGTCCGCTAAGAATCGTTTACAATTATTGGTGGAAGCACATTAAAAGTGTCTCCAGTTGCACCTTCAATACTGTAATTGTTGTATAGAAATTCATAAAATAAATTCATGGCTAAACTATCGAAAATCAAAGATACCTCAAATCCTGTAATATGCTCTCAGACATTAAATTTTTTCCTATTGAAAGTGTAGATACATACCAATTGTTTAGATCAACTATGATTCATTTTTCTTGTACTTCCCAACCATATGATCAGAACCGATGAAACACAACACTAAAGGGGGCCCTAGAGAAAATTCTTGATTCTTCTGTGCCAGATACTTAACGGATCCAATCAGGATCCTTCAAGAATTCGCTCTTTTTTCCTGATGACACGACTGAATCCTGTAAGAATGCGCAGACACGAAGTTTTAGGGTTTTCACAGCATTCGAAACAGATTTAAACCAGGATCATGATCAGTTTCCCACTGTTTTTTTTATATAAATCCTGCGAGGATTTGAATGA